TGCCGTGGCGCCCCATAGCACGTCCCCACCACCCCTCCAGGAGGTTAGGGGGCATGATCCTTACCCCTTCTCCTGGAGGATATGCCATGATTCCCCATAGGACGTCCTCACCACTTGCCCGGGGTCCCTCTCAGCTATCTGTACGTTGTCTTAACGGATTATTTCATTTCTACTTCTTTATTTATTCTTATTGTGTGCATTCCCTCCGGGAATGCCCGGTGGGGACCTTCCTGAAGCTCGGAGGCGCTGAGGGCACCTGCTGGCTTCTCTCTCTGCAGCCGGCGCGGACATCAAGGAGATGCAGAACAACACGTTCCAGCAGTGCTACAAGGCCGGCTTCCTCGACGAGTGGGACCAGGTGTCTAAGCTCCGCAAGCCGGTCRTAGCAGCCGTCAACGGCTACGCGGTGAGTCCCGACCTGGGCGCTGCTTGTCCCGGTGCCGGGGTGCGGTGCGCTTGGACGCTCCCGCGTGGCTCCTAACGCCCGCCTCCCCTCTCGCTAGCTCGGCGGCGGGTGCGAGCTGGCCATGATGTGCGACATCGTTTACGCCGGGGAGAAGGCGCAGTTCGGCCAGCCTGAAATCCTCCTGGGGACTATTCCAGGTAGCGCCCGCGGAGAGGAGGTCCCCAGTGTCCCGCTCCGGTGCGGGGTGGGCACGTGGGGCTGAGGGAGACGCCAGAGTCCTGGGGTCTGGCCCAGCGTAGCACCTTCGGGAGATGCCGCACGTGCGGCTCCCTGAGCGCCTCTCCGTATGGAGGCGGCAGCTCTTCCCTAATTACCAGGCGCTGGTGGGACGCAGAGGCTGACCAGAGCTGTAGGGAAGTCGCTTGCCATGGAGATGGTCCTCACTGGAGACAGGATCTCCGCACAGGAGGCAAAGGAAGCAGGTAGGAGCCAGACGGTCCTCCCCAGCCACCGAGCCCCGAGCCCAGCAGCTTGTGGGTGTCCGGGAGCTGCTGGGATGAGGGGAGCCGTCCGCGCCCTCATCCCCCGTCCTTGCTAGGTCTCGTCAGCAAGATCTTCCCCGTGGACAAGTTGTTGGAAGCGGCCATCGGCTGCGCGGAGAAGATCGCTAGCAACTCCAAGCTGGTGACAGCCATCGCGAAGGAGTCCGTCAACGCGGGTACGGGCGCGTGTGGGGACACTGGGGCTGTGAGTGTCCTGAGCCACGGCCAGAGAGGTGGCAGGCTCAGAAATGACCCGACGCCCTTGGCAGAGCCGGAGGAGTTGCCCCAGCGCGTGCCAAGCGTTGGAATCATGGTTACGGTCCCCAAGGCGCGTGGGCAGCGCTGGCCCACCGCTGCGTGGGTTCCTCGGACACGGGCCAGGAGCTTCCCAAACGTGTCCAGAGGTGGCTCTGGGGTCACCATGGCTGAGGGGTCGTCCGTGCCATGCTCCCACGTGGAGCTGTCAAGGAGCGGGATGAAGGGGTTTGGGCATGGCTGGGACTCTCTCGCCCGGGCTGGGCACACGCGGCCTCCTCCCGACCTGTCCCCTGCTCCTCAGCCTTCGAGACGACGCTGGCGGAGGGCATCAGGACGGAGAAGAGACTCTTCTACGCCACCTTTGCCACCGTGAGTATCTCCCTGTCCGGCCGCACGAGCCGGGTGCGGGTGGGAGCAGGAGAGCCGCAGCCCCCCAAGCCTCTCCCTTTCCTCACAGGATGACCGCAGGGAAGGGATGACCGCCTTCGTGGAGAAGCGCAAGGCCAAGTTCACCGACAGCTGAGCCCGGCGTCCCCCTGGGGACAGYGGTCCCTTTGGTGCCCTCGGACCCCACGCTGCCCAGCAGCCCTCACCACGCACCTCCTTAACTGACCCACGTGCCTAATCAGGGTGACTCTTGCCCTCCGTGGAGGAAAGGGGCAGAGTCCCCCAGCGCTGCAGCAYGCCGAGGGACTGGGGACCCGGCCGGGACCGAGGCCCTTCCTTCGGTGCGATGATCTGAACCAGGGCTCAGCTCGCAGCTCCTATTAAAAGGCTTTCCTGGTGCTTCTGCTCCTGATGTGTTAAGGTGGAGCCCAGCATTGTTCCGACACCCGTACGGTGAGTTTGCCTGGCCTCGGCCCACCCTTCCGAGAGCCGGCAAGCAGGGGCTGGAGACCCCCCAACACACCCCGGGCGCTCGTCTTCGTCCCACGCAGCTACAGCGGGTTGCGCGGGGCCGTGTGAGCCGGGGCAGTCCCTGCAGGATGAGGCCCCACCTGGAGGGGTTTCTAGCAGAAATGAGGAGTCGGCTGGGGTGGGCAGCGGGGGCGACGAGGTTTATTGAGGTTTTTGGAAGGCCAGCGGGGAGAGGAGATCTTCCTGGGGAAAGCCAGGGCTGTGGTGAGAAGCTGGGGCAGCTCTGATGCCCCGTCTGTTAGAGCAGGGGGGGTCACATCTCCTCGTCTCGGCCGTGGTAGATGTGGTCCCGGTCTTCTTCTGGGCCATTCTGCACCTGGCGGGGCAGAGCCAGGAGCCGCACGTGCGCCACCTCCTCAACAACGTTGTCCTCGGGATGGTGSAGGTGATCGAGGTCCTCCTCGGGGCCCGCTGCAGAGGACAAGAGACCCAGCATGGGCTGGGGACCCAGGGCGGGCCACGGCGCAGGGGTGGCCGCGCCGACGCGCTTACCCCTCCAGGCCTGCTCCTCGCTGGAGAACACCTTTATTTCTGGTATGCTGCCTTCTCGAGGCTCCGCGGCTTTTACGCCCAGGATGCTGGAAGGAAGAAACCAGAAAGGACCCGTTGCTGCGGGTGCCCTCTGCGATCAGCCCCTGCCTGCGGGACGGGCTGGGAYACAGAGGCCAGAGGGAAAGGTGCCAAGGAGAGGGGCTCCGGTGCCTCTTACATCTCCTTCAAATCCAGCTTGGCTGGCGGCTTCTTTTCCCTGGTGTCGCTCAGCACCTGTGAGGAGAGAGGTGAGGAAAGGGGGAGTTGAGGGAATTGCGAACCCCGCTCCTGCGCTCCCCTCGCTCAGCCAGACTGTCCCCAACTGTCTTCCCTGTGAAGGTCAGGGACAACACACACGTGTTGCACCTGGCTCCCCGGCCCTTACCTGGGCGCTCCCAAGGACTTGCAGGAGCACGGCTGTGCCCACGAGGATGGCGAAGCTGCGGAGACACAAGGGATTTGTCACGACCCACCCTGCGGCCGAGCTTCCCGCCAGGAACCCAAGCTGCACTGGGCAACCACCCATCCCTCTTGGACCTCCCTGTTCCCGGAGCCAGGTGCCAAGCTCTGTGGAGATCCCTGCCCCAGGCCTGTCCTCTCCATCCCCGGTGCCCGCGGGAGCCGTCCCTTCGCTCACCGCGCCATGGCTCGGCCGTCGGCTCACTCTGGCCGCGTGGACGCCGGCCAGCAGGCAAAAGGCAGCGCCGGGGCGGCCACCGGCGGAGCCCGAGCAAAGGGCAGCGCCAGGCTGGCAGGGCGGCCGCGGGCAAAGGGCAGCGCCAGGCTGGCGGCACGCGGCGCCCCGCAGGGACTCCGTGCTCCCCGTCTCCCCTTTCCAGAGCAGGAGCCGTGTTCACGGCAAACAACGTTCCCCCGGCGAGCAGCCCGGCTCTGCGACTTGCGCAAGCGTCCCCCATAAATGGTTTACGAGCCGCGCTAGCTCAAAAGGAGCTAACGTGACCGCGTGGATCGAAGGGGCTGACGTGAAGTGCCCCTTGGGGCACTTCAAGAGCCGCTCAGGACCGTGGGCACCGGCACATCAGCGCACACAGAAAAACCCCAGCGTGCAGCCGGTTTTAGTATGAATATTAACGCCTCGCAGGCAGAACCATGGCCCTTTGGGGAAACGATCTGGATGAGGTGCAGCTCCCCAGAAGGGAGCTCCCCAGAAGGGAGCTCCCCAGAAGGGAGCTGCAGGCCAGGAAGGAGATCCCATGTAAAACCAAGCGGTGCTTGGCC